TGACGGTGAGACATAACGCAATACATATTTAATATCTTTGTTTACTATAGCGTGCAGTAGTTCTTGGCGCGTATCCGGGTGAGTTGCGTTTCCCAGTTTATAATCTGACAAGTATGACACAGAAAACTGCTGCAGATACAGGTACGCTATTCACTATCGGCTCTCAAACAGCTGCTGCCAACGTTTCTAGACTAGGTGAGTTGCAAAACTCCCCAAGTCAGACTACACGGCACCGAGACAGCTTCCGGTTTGGTGGCGCTGGCGGCGCAACAAGCTTCCGCTAGCAGACAAAAACGCGTAGCCGTCGTGGCAAGACGCCGTGGCGGCCGTTCTGAAAGAGCTTACCGGCAGTATATCATCGTGATTTGCTATGCTGCCGCAGAAACTTTATACTGCGTAGTATTTAGTGGTGTAAGGCAAATACAGTATAATTATGGTTTTCTGAACTGCCCACAACAAACAATGCTTGATATATATAGCATAACATATGAGTCTGTCGGTTAGTTGCTAGTTGGTGTACGTTCGCAATAAATTTTTAGACGCGAAAAACCCAACTACAATGTCTGGCATCCTCTTTTGTGGCTGTGTTTTTCGGGCTTGAAAATAAATTACAACAAAGTGCCGCAATCTTGTGGCTTTTGTCTAGTTATGTAGTCAGTTTTTTTTTTCATGTCAGTCACATTTTTTAGCAATTTAGACCGTCAAAAAGCTACGCGTGCGGCCATTTTCTTGAGCATGTCTTCCCTCTGCTTCTTCTGGAGCTCCTCTTATGAAACCTGTTAACAAAGCTGCAGACAAAGCTTCGAGCAGAGACCGCACTTTGGGGTATCGGTGAGCACTTCGCAGTAATTATTCACGAGTCTGCCTGCTGGCGCATTGGGACAACATGCCCCGCCGCGGTGGTCTAGTGGCTAAGGTACTCGGCTGCTGACCCGCAGGTCGCGGCATCAAATCCCGTCTGCAGCGGCTGCATTTCCGATGGAGGTGGAAATGCTGTAGGCCCGTGTGCTCAGATTTGGGCGCACGTTGAAGAACCCCAGGTGTTCAAAATTTTCGGAGCTCTCCACTACGGCGTCTCTCATAATCATATGGTGCTTTTGGGACGTTAAACCCCACTTATCAATCAATTGGGACAACATGAACACACTTGCAGCTTTTCTATGTCCTCCAGAAGTTCGGCCCATTGAGCGATGGTATCTGCATTACCAGGCGACTTGGCTAAGTGATGGTGACGGCTGCTAATGGTGACTGTCATGTCTTCTGCGACGACAACGCATTTCTCCACAATTAGCGCTCTTTTTTTTTTCTTTGAGCATTAGAAACACCACAAGACGTCTTGTCTCGCCATTCTCAACAACTTTCCGCCAGCATGCAAAATAATGTTTTCTATGTCTTGAAGCGAAATGACGCCACTAGTTGACGGCATGTCGAGACCTATTTCACTGTATTCGAGCTCAGTGCTCGGAGATAGTCTATTCTTTTTCACCGATGATATTCCGGAAAATACCCCACTCCTATCGGGCAGCTTTCGCTTCTTTGTCGCGGGCCCCGCGACAAAGGTAAGCGGGCAAATTCGGGAATATTCGTGTAACGCATCCTTCGACGAGGTCCCACTTTTCTCTTGCGATTTGTACCTTCTTACCATATCACGTGAGTGAAAGTCTTCAGGATGTCCTTCTTATGAAAGTGCATATCACACACACGCGAGGTGCCGAGGCAGTTTCTTATCTACACGAGGAATAGTGTGGTCCCATACCTCTCGCTTCTCAGGTACACGTGGGCACAAAAGAAATGTCGTGGTGTCTCTTATTTCCTGCAGCTACTCTACAGCCGAGAAGCAACATCCGGGCATGATGAAAACACGCAACACATACAAAGCAGAACAGGGCGCTCTGAAGCACAAAAATTTTAACGCAGAAAGAAGCCTCCACAGATATCGACGCACTGCAACATGCACAGCGATGGAGGTTACAGGAGTGACACGAGCGAGCTAGGTGGTAGGTGTTCTGTGGCTAGGTGTTCTGTGAGCGAGCATGCAGTGAGTGAATCTGGATGCGACAGCAGCGCCATATTTGTCGCTGGCAGCGGCGGCGCCGCGCAACATCACTCAGTTTTGCAACTTACCTAGTCTAGAAACGTTGGCTGCTGCAGTTCGCCGCAGCCAGGCGACAACTGGTGGCGGTCCAGAAGACGTACCACCTCTGGACGAGTTTGGGACCCGCGTAACGAATGCGCTGGACCCGGAAGCGATTTCCGGAATCTCTGGCGGCTTGGATGTAGGTGCCCCGAGTGCAGGTATGAATGCGAACAGGTGTGCCTGTGTATACACCTAGACAGCGTGCTTGCACGGCGGTCTCAGTAATGCGGAGATGAACGTATGTCGTTATAGCTAAAAATTGAAATAATAATGGTTCGTTTATACTTCAAACTTCTCGCAGCAGCTCGTGTTGAAAAATGTGTAAAAACAAGTCAAGAAATTGCCCATACTTTTAGGTAGTGGCAGCAATAATCCAAATACCTATTGTACGAGAAAATTTTGCAAAGAAATTACACATGCAAAGGAGCGGTAGATAAAACGCATACAAAAAATACTGAAAAGAACACTGAAACAAGGTGCAACAACAGCGGGTGTATTCGTAAAAGAAAGCTAATCATGGGCGCCGCATGGATTTTGCCTTCCAGGGTGGAAACACTAGTTGCATCGCAGTGGAGCGTGGAGGGAGGTGACATAGCAGTGATGCTGCTAGGGTGTGCTATAAGTACTGGTGCGGCATGAGGGGGGCATATGAGCGTTTTGCAGCACCCCTTTCCCCCCTTTAGACGCCCACGGAACCTATATGCAATATGAAAAGTACTAATTAAATGTGCACTCCAACAAAAACATGGGAAAAAAAGCGACGAGAGAACGATTTTACAGCAATGCAGATGATCACTGACAAGAACGCAACAAGGGTAAAAACGGATATCAATCTTGAACATAGGGTTTATGATGATGTTATGAACAGAACCACAAACCACTGCATAATTATGAGCCACGCTGCAGCAGAAAGATAGGTAAATTTCTATCACCCGCGAGTTGTTATTGTTGGTGGACGCCACACATTACACAGATATCAATAACCTTCCACCTTTATACGACCGTCGAGGACAGGATCAAAGCCAAGACTTTTGTGTCAGCAACCAAGCAATAAAATTCCTTATTCACAAAAGTAGCCAGAGAGATTACATAAAATTTAATTTCCTTCTTGTTGGTATGTAAGGCTGATGGACAATAATCTCACAGTTCCATATGGCTTGACCCTTGGAAGAAGCTATCATGCATATGTTACATGCTCACAAGCACTTAAACTTTTATTTTTGTGTTTTAGAAAAACAATAGAGCACATATACCTCTGGCAAGGGAAAGCAAGTCAACTGCGCAGGGTGCCTGAAAGCATTGTAATCCAGTACACTAGGTGAAGACACACTTGACACAAACTGATGACGAGTACAGGGGAAACAGACCTTGTTTAGCGAAACTATACAGTTATGAAGCCTTTTTGTGTGCAACGCTTGTGTTTGCTCTTGCATGAAAACTAATTTCGCATACTGTGCTTGTGCATGAGTTGACCCTAATCTAATGATGTACTTATGTTCTCTTGTTAGATAAACAGCCAGACAATCCCTTCATTCCAGAGCTGTCAATACCAGGGTGAGAATAGCTGTTACAAGACTGTTTGAAATACCAAGTATTATAAAAATGATGTCACATTTTTCCAGACCCAGCCACATGGCATATGAAGAACTCGGGGAAGGTTAGTGGCCCATTTGCCAATATTTGCTGGTTTCGCTTGTGAAAATATTTGTATGAGCACTGTAGGTAATTGTGTGTTTGCACCTAATAACTGAATATTGTGAGCAAAAACACACACAATAAAGCGGCAGTGTATTGCAAGCATACTTCTCTTTGATTTGTTTATTCAGTCATTCATGTGATAGAAGGCATAAATAAATGCACAGAAAATATAATACTAACAAAATGAGACACAACTATAGCAAAAGCAATGATAAACCTTAACAATAAAGAGATGTTTTTGCGTGTTCGTATGTCAACCACAGCCACATTATTAATTATTTGGCATAGTTGAATAACTTTAAGCGGGTAAGCAGTGAGGGTCCACATTTTATGCAATATCTATAGAACATTGTGAAAATTTATACAATATTACTCTGCGAGATCGAAAAAAATGCCTGTATGCACTGAACCATTTTTCAATCAAGTTAAAAATTTTTTCATCAACAGTAGAAGGTAGACTACTTTACGATTGGTGATGTGTGCATATATGAATGTTGGACGTTTCTCAACGAGTTGCACTGTTCAGTGTGCCTTACTTTTGGTTTAAATAAAGGGAAACACTAAGTGAACAGTTGCACAAATGAAATATCAAAGAACGCCACTGCAGGCCACCTTCCACAATCACTTGTCAGGGCAGCAGCTTATCTTGTGACTGGCACACAGGTGCAGGTTGCAGCTTAAGGTCTATGTAAAGTAGGTATTGCTGACGGTCTGGTGAATTTATGCACATCATTGTCTCTTTCAGTCTTTCAAGCAGTAATGTTGCATCAAGGGAAATAGCTTTACAAAAATAATGGTGCACAATAAATGTAATACTAACCAAAGCAATCGAAATGGCCAATGAATATACTTAACCTAGGTAAATATTTTTAAATATTAAAAATATCGCATATGTAGCAGGGAGAGGTGCACAACTTTCATGAAGAATATTTCACACACCCCCGTTGCAGCTGTCCACACAAAAGAAAATGCACTTTTCCGAACAACCGTCCTGCAACATTCCCTATGTAATGATCTTACGTTTCATTGTTTGTCATTGCTGAAAACTAAGACTACAAATGATGTCCCCCCTCCTCCAAGCAGCAGCCTAATGAAAATTAAATATACGAGATTTAAACAACTCGTTCTTTACTGAATGTTGATTCCATTGCATTTTATACTGCAGGCACTTGTGACGCCATCAGAAATGTTCCGTCTAGTGCCGGGTAAGCCTCAAATAATTTAAAATGTGGTACTCTGCATATCAAGTTTTTTTTCTGCATCTGTACAGGTCAAGCAAGCAAGACGGGGACAGTGCAATTGGTAAGCACACAGAACCATGTATTTTTATTTCCTTTTTAAAACACACAAAGTACAGCAACCAAAAGTTCCTAGAAATGTTGCTTATTCAGATTGACAACATATGTGACCCTACTCGTATCTGTTTACACATACAATAATAAAAAGTAGTAGAAAACATATGTACCGGTGCATGCAGTCTTGAGCAAAGTTTGGAGGATTGTTGTCTTTTCTATCCTTAAGGCATGTACATGCTTGTTGCAATCAAGCCATCTGCATGAAGTGCCCACACTTCACTATTCCGTGAAAGCAGTCTACACTACAGTCTGTTTGTAAAACAATGCAACAAAGATCCCAGTTCATATTGCCTGCCTTTAAAAGCAAAAACAATGCTCATACATGGATGGCACTAGGCTATCAAAAGTAGTTCAAAATCACAATCACTTATAATACCATGCAAATCTAAGCCCGATGCTCGTGCAAGAATGTGAAACCCAGACATATGGAGAACGCAAGCGTTCCTTTTAGCAGTGGACTGTCTGTTCGTTGTATGAGCAGATAAGCTAACACAAATCTTTTGCTTTTACAGTTTGCACACTTTTGTTTACAACTTCAAACAGTAAAACGAATCATCCAGTCATCATGCACATAATTTATGCATACAGTTAAAGTAACTTTTGGGCATCAAGAAAGATACTGAAGAAATTTAACATCTCCAGGAATGCTAAATCTGGCATTGCTGCAGTGGTCTAGTGGCTAAGGTACTCATCTGCTGACCCGCAAGTCGCGTGATCGAATCCCGGCTGCAGCAGCTACATTTTTGATAGAAGTGAAAATGCTGTAGGCCCGAGTATGAAGATTGGGCGCACGTTTAGAACCCCAAGTGGTAGAAATTTCCGGAGCCCTCCACTACGGCATTTCTCATAATCATATCGTGGTTTTGGGACATTAAACCCCACATATCAATCAGGAATGCAAATCTGAGAAAAAAGCCGATTTTGTAAATTTTAGAGCAACTGAAAGAAGGTGAAAGCAGCAGTTCACCTAATGAAAAGACACAGAAGTACATCAGCGGTATTTGCAAATACTCTTGGATACTTGGAATGAATGCAGCACGCAGTCTAAGCTTGTGCACTTTGGCCTGGCAAACTCTAAAATGGGGCTGCTCCTGATGGAAGTCCAGTGAACGAAGAACACAGACAACCGTACTGTTGACTGCATTCTTTATCTGCACTGCAATAATTTCAAAAAATCACCGTTTTTCACTAGTTAAGGCATAGTACTTTGATGACCTGTTGATATAGAAAAGTGCAGAAAACTTTAAACATAAATGTATAATGCTTCCAAGCAATAAATTACATCACCTTGAGAGGAAAAAACGATACCCTCTGCAATGATACATCCGCAAACACATTCTTGGAAAATCCATTGTGTGGAGGGCCACAAAGACTGTCATGCATGATTGTTAAGACACAACACCGTCTATTATGCATGATCATTGTGTTAAAAAGAAATAAGGAATGTTCACGCTTCACTAGGAAGATTTCACTAGGCAGATTCGACTGCAGTAGATGCCATTTGAACCATATTTGGTACTCCTAAAGGTATCAACCATGCATTTAGTGACCGCCAAATGGCATATGACCTTTGTGCAACATTAGGTACAAGTCATGTTGATTGATTGATTTGTGGGGTTTAACGTCCCAAAACCACCATTTGATTATGAGAGACGCCGTAGTGGAGGGCTCCGGAAATTTTGACCACCTGGGGTTCTTTAACGTGCACCCAAATCTGAGTACACGGGCCTACAACATTTCTGCCTCCATCGGAAATGCAGCCGCCGCAGCCGGGAATCGAACCCGCGACCTGCGGGTCAGCAGCCGAGTACCTTAGCCACTAGACCACCGCGGCGGGGCGGTACAAGTCACGTTATGTCACTTTAAAATGTAGGTGAGCCACAGCAACACAGCAGCAGCACTCTACAGCGGCGGCAGGAACCACGCAGCTATACAAGTGAGAAACTATTTACATAGTGAGGAGGTTTAGTGGGGTGAACAGTACATGAAAATAAATAGTTTCTACATCGAGGTCCATTTTAAGAGAAGACTGGCAGGCAGTGCCATAACATTACATAGGAGATAAAGCATATAAATGTGCACATAAGGTAGAGTAAGATTCTTATTTCACTCTTGTACCCAGTCCAGAGTTTATACAAGGTCATTTTTGCTGTGCTTCTGTTTTCCTTGGCAACCAAGTAAAAAAAACAAAAAAATGACACTCTGCTGGCTTAGCAGTTACTGGGTTGCAGCACCGAGCGTGAAAGTTTTGATTGCTGACCACAACAACTACTCTGGGGCACTAAACACAAGGCTACTCGGGAACATTGCTTTCAGAATGCAATTAACAATACACATTTCCATCTTGAAGGAAAAGGATCTACAGCAGGGCATACTGCACAAAGCTTGAAGTGCATATACACCAGTAGTGAGCATACAAATATAAGTCCTCCAGGTATTTCAATGTACGTATCAATCTGAGTACACTGAACAACCCGGCCTGATCACTAATAGCCGTTGTTAATCTGTAAACTTTGTCCCCCTTGGAAAATCGGTGGCTAGAGTAGGTGGCTGCTTATCCCAAGGTCGCGGGTGCGATCCCAGCCGCGGCAGTCTCATTTCAATGGAGGCAAAATGGTAGAGGTCCGTGTACTGTGCGATGTCCGTGCACGTTGAAAAACATGAGATGATCCTCCATTAGGGTGTCTCAAGTGATCACATGGTTGTTTTGGGACGTAAAATCCCACATATTTATCTGTCAATTTTGCTGGAGCCACAAAGCACATGGCAATGAAGTGCCAGATGTAGTGCCATTACTGGAACATGGAAAAAGTACAAATAATAATTAGGGCAGTTGCATGTATGAAAGTGCACAGGTGATACAATTAAGTGATAACAACTTTTTCTCTTCTATTTCCAGAAGAACAAGAACTCTTCGAGCACATACTCGAAAAAAAAAAATTCTCAGAGCTCAAAAGCACACTGCAAGGGCTCTGAAAAGAATTCTGAAAAAAGTCTGTCTGTCTGTCTGTCTGTCTGTCTGTCTGTCTGTCTGTCTGTCTGTCTGTCTGTCTGTCTGTCTGTCTGTCTGTCTGTCTGTCTGTCTGTCTGTCTGTCTGTCTGTCTGTCTGTCTGTCTGTCTGTCTGTCTGTCTGTCTGTCTGTCTGTCTGTCGTCTGTCTGTCTGTCTGTCTGTCTGTCTGTCTGTCTGTCTGTCGTCTGTCTGTCTGTCTGTCTGTCTGTCTGTCTGTCTGTCTGTCTGTCTGTCTGTCTGTCTGTCTGTCTGTCTGTCTGTCTGTCTGTCTGTCTGTCTGTCTGTCTGTCTGTCTGTCTGTCTGTCTGTCTGTCTGTCTGTCGTCTGTCTGTCTGTCTGTCTGTCTGTCTGTCTGTCTGTCTGTCTGTCTGTCTGTCTGTCTGTCTGTCTGTCTGTCTGTCTGTCTGTCTGTCTGTCTGTCTGTCTGTCTGTCTGTCTGTCTGTCTGTCTGTCTGTCTGTCTGTCTGTCTGTCTGTCTGTCTGTCTGTCTGTCTGTCTGTCTGTCTGTCTGTCTGTCTGTCTGTCTGTCTGTCTGTCTTGTCTGTCTGTCTGTCTGTCTGTCTGTCTGTCTGTCTGTCTGCTTCTGTCTGTCTGTCTGGCTACCTACTACCTACCTACCTACCTACCTACCTACCTACCTACCTACCTACCTACCTACCTACCTACCTACCTACCTACCTACCTACCTACCTACCTACTACCTACCTACCTACCTACCTACCTACCTACCTACCTACCTACCTACCTACCTACCTACCTACCTACCTACCTACCTACCTACCTACCTACCTACCTACCTACCTACCTACCTACCTACCTACCTACCTACCTACCTACCTACCTACCTACCTACCTACCTACCTACCTACCTACCTACCTACCTACCTACCTACCTACCTACCTACCTACCTACCTACCTACCTACCTACCTACTACCTACCTACCTACCTACCTACCTACCTACCTACCTACCTACCTACCTACCTACCTACCTACCTACCTACCTACCTACCTACCTACCTACTACCTACCTACCTACTACCTACCTACCTACCTACCTACCTACCTACCTACCTACCTACCTACCTACCTACCTACCTACCTATCTATCTATCTATCTATCTATCTATCTATCTATCTATCTATCTATCTCAAGAAGGAGCATGAAAAAGGAACTCATTTTTCATAAAGAAACACATTCAACAAATATAAAAATGACAAAAGAAATCTGTGAAAGTGAGGTGATAACTCTTCATGCGGCTAAGCAGCAATCTCATTTAGAGTGTACAACAATTGGGTGCTAGAAGCAAGTTGCAAGCATAGAAGAAATTTTTTTTATTTCCAATTAGTCATTGATGCAGCTCAGCTAAAACATAAGTTCAGAGGCATGCTTTTCGTAGAATTTATGGTGAGAGAAGGTAGATAGACCACACATGCAAAATAATAAAATTCTGCCTCATGAACAATGGGAAAGTTTGCCAAATATAAGTGATTATGCACCAGCTATCATCAGAGCCTCAGTTCTCACAGCAGCTGCACAGATGCTCTGAAGTTACTCAATGCTAGATCACCTACTTGCCACTAGTAGCTGAGAAAACATTATGTACACTTCAGCACACCCTGGCATTTGAGTGCCAATTCAAAGATACTGAAAACTAGAGAAATTCTGAGTGCATGAAAAGGAGCATTCGTTATACCCACAGCTTTTTTGCACAGTGAAACTACATTGTCCTGAGTAGTGTGGCAGGGTCAATGATATGCGATGCTTCGAATCGTTCCCCTTGTGCACAAGACTAAGCAAACGAAAAGTGCAACTTTATAGCTAAATTGGCAAGTGCATATCTTGCTTCGACCTAACAATACATGTGCTATGATAAAAGCTCACTTTGGTGAAGTAGGAGGTGAAGCTTTCCACAACAATGTCCTGAAAAAGTTTCCGAACTACCGCTTGGCTCAATCCTTGTGAGATTGATTCAAGGAAATGTAACAAGAAGTTAGAGATGTTAAATATTTTACAGCGCAACTGCCCACACTATGGAATCTCCATGCACAAGCTGAGGCAGACCATGATGTTCGTTGTGGTCTGTATTTATGGTTATATTTACACATGTGCTTGCACTCACTGGTCTGCTTAAGGCGTGTTTGCACTAGAGTGACCCAACGCTGACACGACCCCGACGCAGACGATCGGCTGAGTTACCCGCCGACAATCGCACCTGACAATCTGGTCACACTAAGCCGAAAACAATGACGCTTCGAAAGACAGCCCGTTGTCGTCGTGTAACATGATGGCAGACCGAAAACGCCAGCAGCGTATTAGCAGACTTGTCGCCCGCAGATTGTCAGAAGATCGATTGTCGAGTAAAAACTTGCCTTTGTCGTCCAATCTAAGAACTAAGAGAGAGATCTTAGGGGGAGGTAGAAGGCCTCGCACACTACTTAAAGGTGTTCTCCAACAGTATTGAACAAGCTATTTTTTATTTGTGGTTTGCAGAGACCGACAGGTGGAAATAATTTTATCATAGGTCTAAGTGCCAATATCAGTTGATTTAGTATTTTAATTACGCAACACACTACACATCGCTGCCGATCTTATCACCACATAGCGGCGCTCGCCTGAACTTTGCGGGTGGAAATTACACTAGAAGTTTGCCGCTATATGATTGTATAAATGTAACGCTAGAAGCGATCGTGGTGTAGGATCAAACTGAGATTACTCATCTGTTTCATTTTTCTTCTCTGTGCTTCTTCATCAAACCCTGAACAGACGCAACCACAATAAAAAAGATCCCGGTGACTACAAAGCATGACACAGATTCTGGCTGCCATTTCGGCACTGAATTTTTAGCTTGTGCGGGTCAGATGTCCAGACGAAACACCTCTTTCTTTCCTCTTCTTGCTTTCTGGAGTATACGAGCTGTCTGTTTCTGCACATGCACTGTAGAAGAGGTGCAGTGCACCATTGTTTCTTGGACGGCTCATCTAACAGCACGCAAAGGCTCTACAGTACTTCACTGTCCTGGTTCCACAAGTGCCTTTCTCAGAATAAGAAAAAGTGACTTGGGATGTTGTAAAAAACAGCAGAAAATGCCTCGCTTCGACACAGTAGCCCTCACTCACGCTCTGGCAAGCCATGCGTCAGGCAAGACATCTACTATGGTAGCAAGAAGGTCAACATTACTTTGAAAAAGAAAAAAAAAACAAGCAATGGTGGGGTGCGAGGTTCCCCTGAGTAGGCGCTTCCAGCTTATTTAGTCGGGGTAGCCATTTGAAGACACGGGCAAGTGAAATGGGGTCAAGTGACCCTGTGAAAATCGAGGGTCCACACTCTGGTTTTTGTATTTTGAATTTTCTAAATAACTTGCTGCATTAGTGTGTACTTCAGTGTACACAACACACGTATAAAACATAGGGGGTTGAATAGTGTTGGAGGGCTCCTTTATTGGTCATCCTGTGCACTCTACAAAAGTCATTCCTTCGCTTTGTCTTTGTCTGTCCCGACCCCCCGGCCCCTCACCCCAAAAGGGACAATGGCAACACCCGGAGGATGGCTGAGAATGAGAAGCAGGCACAAGCTTTTTGTGCAAATTTAGTAGGTGTCACTGCGTGTGCCCCCCCCAGTGTGACTCGAGAATTGGCCAACTAAAGGCTGTGGGCATGACAAGGCGCGAACGGAGCCTCCCTGAGACCATAGGCAGACTGTTTGTGTCGTTGCAGTGTACATCGGACAAGGACTAGACAAAAAACGCTCCCAAAGACAATCAGCTGACCAAAATAAGTATCGAGTTGCTCTATTGTAGACACGCCTCTACACATACAACTTATACTTCTAACACAAATTCACGTTAGAAGAATTTCGTCCTACTAATAATGTATTTCGCTTCTCTTTTTTTCCACGAGTTGTAAGAGACTGGAATGCCTTAGATGAAATTACTGTTACTCAGCCTACGCTAGAATTATTCTCTGAACTCGTGGAGAGAGCTGTGTGACACAGACACATGTCACTCTGGTTATTGTTATTGTGATATGGATGTAGTATGCTTGTTTTAATCTCTTGCTGTGTGTAAATTTAGAGTGTGTCTTTTCGTTTATACGTGTATATGTCTATTTATTACAGAGCGCATAATATGCTCTCCGCATTACTTCTGTACATTCATGTATAAATCAACTCCCACCCCTGTAATAATCCCTTTGAGGGATTGGCAGTATTTTGAAATAAATAATAAATAAAATAAATACTATTACGGTGTCCACACTTACACCTGAATTTCCAGGGACAATTTACTGCTCCAAGTATGAATGTTTTGAAAAATAATAGCAGTGCAGAAAATAAATGTTCCATGTCTTGCTCGCCCCATATTTAAAGAAGGAAATCATTTTAGACACCACAGCAAGGATTGTTTTTTGTCATTTGCAGAGCAAGGCAGCAAGGATCTTTAAGCATTATAATTGCAAATATTGATACATGAAATGACATTTGCTAAACGAGAATGCTGCATGAATGTTCAGCTTGCAGCCAACCAGTGTTTTAGACTTGACCGTTAAATAAAATACACACAGCCTAGCGAAAGTTTTTCTCTTGTTACCCACACTGGTGCACTCATACGAACCTTATAATTTGTGTACAAAATTTTACTTGCATATTGCTTCACAGAGCAGGTTGGTATAAGGAGAGCTTTGTGACAGACCATACAACTGTTTGCAAAAGACTGCTAGCTACAAAATTTGTACAGGTATGGATGGCTGAAGACTTCCAAGCGTCTGTTTCATTACTGGAACATGTAAAATATGGCAGGAAGGGGACGATAGAAGCTTTCAATGAAAAAATCTATAAATGAGGTTTCTGTCAAACCTAATATTTCACAATTTCACTCCTCTTCCTCAAGAATAGAACAGAACTTCGAGGAAGACAAGTTTGTAGGTCGGCTCG